TTTTTTTCCTTTTTTTTCAATTTTCTATCCCTCAATAAAATACTATGTTGGAGACCATGGAGCCCACAGGCCATGCATAGCTAGCGCTTTGGGAAGACTTTTAAGGAAGACTTGAAACTTTTGTGGTTGTAGATATAGATTAAAAAAAAGGGAATAAAATCATTCCAATATCCTATATTATAACAAACGTCTCTTTAATATTTTGTATTTTTAATAATATTAAAATGATGCATTTATCTTTAAAAAAAAAGTTCTTATTCAATACCTTGAGACTTATTTTTAGGATATAAAATATCCATTAGTACATAAGCACAATTGGAAAAGTAAAAACTACTTGAACTCATACGTCATAAATTAAAAATAAAAAAATGGGAGTACCAATGGTATATAAACATTACCACCACTAATATAAGGTGGACTACGCCTGTGAGCCTCACATTCCCAATGCCTTCTAACATTATAATCCGAGTTTCATTTGTATAATGCAGAAAAAAAAATGCATGGAAGACTCACTAAACTTGATACGGCGGGTTATAATTAGCATCAATAAGTACTCATTTCCATCAATAAGTAATAATTAATAAAAGAATAATAACAACAATTAACCATTATAGCCAGTCGTAGAGAAAAAACAATATAGTGGGGGTACTATAAAAGAAATAAAGATAATACTTTACTATTTTTTTTTAATTATCGAGTTAAAGTACAGTTAAACCTTTCTTGTAAAATGATGGTACAAAAATATATTTCACTTATTCAGTGGGGACACAGATATATTTTCTTACAAGATAAGACCATATAATTAAAAACTAGGAAATATTTTGTGGGTAAAAATAGAAATTTCAAAGATAGAGTTGGGGCACGTGCCCCCAGAAAAGAGAATTTCAATCCCTCCCACCAATTTAAACAAGGTAATGTGACAGGAATAATGATTTTTTTTTTCTTTCTTGTGTGACTAGTTGCCGGGGAGACAATCTCATCCCATTGTGATCCCTAATTTTCCAAGTAAATGTAGCACGAGATATTTGTATGAAGATTAACAGATTATGATGGAAATCAAACTTACTTACTTTGAGGATATAATATAGAGTAGTGCTGGAACTTTGGACGAGCCGTCCACGACTGTCTGAAAAGCCCGAGGTTTTGCCTGAGTCCGAGCCCGACCCGCCCGAGAATTCCGGGCCGCCCGTCTGAGCCCGAATTTCACCTTGAACGGGCCGCGGGCTTCTATTAGGCGGCCCGAGCCCGCCCAAATTGCCCGAATTATTTAAACTTTTTTTTAATATTAAGTTATTTATATATATATTACAATTTATATATATATATATATTATATTTATATATATATATATTAAAATTTGAAATGAACACACGAACTATATAAAAAAATTATTTCTTTATTAATTTTTAAATTTGTAATTCATGATTGCCTCGTTAAAAACCTTACCAAGAAAAAC